GTTGATAAAGTTTTGGAACGATATTCAATTTAAAACCTTTTAGACAGGTACATGAACAAATTGAATATTTGTAATAAAATTTCTGAAGGAAGAATTTCACAAATACATTCCAATTTTTTAAGTTGGAGTGCAATATTCTGTACATTTTTTTTTACATATTTACTTTGTATAAATACATCAATATCTACCCCATATTCATTCCACCATTTATTGTTGCATTACAGCAGGTCTTTCTATTTAAAAGATTGATTTTTCCATCCCATATAAAATTCCATATCATTAAATTTATTAAATTTTTGTACTTTTCTTATCATAGATAAAATGTGTGATTTGATTATCAGTATCCTACCTTCATGAGTCAGAGTTCTGGTTTTCCATACATGTAAGCAGTTCTTTATTATTTTAATCTTTTCTTTCCATATGCTTTCTATGTCTATATTATATCCATGATAGACTCCTAGAGTTTTTATTGGGGTTTTGGTCCATTTTGGTTGATTAAAAATAGGGGGTTTATTTTTCCATCTCCCTAGGTATATAGCTTCTGTTTTGTCAAAATTAGTTGTTTAGCCTGATGCCTTTTCATATATTTTGAATCCTCTGTCCTGTGTATATGTTGAATATCACCAGCAATTCTATAAAGTTTTAATTCTGAAATATTTTGATTTTGTAATTTTATTCCCTTTATGTCTGAGTTATCGATAACTCGATTAATACAAACAAGTGGTTCTGCTTGGAGTACGTACATGAGCGGACATCCCTGACGCGCTGACCTTGCTATTGGAAAGTACTTGGACGTGAAACCATTTGTTTCAAAACATGTTTTGGACATTTTCTAATAACATTTTAATCCGATTGCAATATATTTTACCAAATTTGAAAGATTTAAAACAGTGAATTGCCCAATCCAATTCCATTCTATCAAAAGCTTTTTGTTGATCAATACAAATTATGCCCCATCTTGTTTTCCTCCATATCACAATAACCAATTATATCTTGTAATTCCTTATTAGCTTCCATTATATTCTACCTGCTACAAATCCTTTCTGGTCTGCATGTATTATCTGAGGGAGTAAAGGGTTGATTCTGTTACTAATTACTTTAAAAGCAATTATTTTGTAATCTGTATTAAACATGGTAAGTGGTCGACATTTTAATATTCCTTTTCATTTCCCCTTTTTAAACAGTAATTATAATATACCTTATTTTCAAATACATATTTAATAACCATTGAAATTTTGTTTTTAATTTTGTGCCAGTATTTTTATTTAATTCAGAAATCACCCCAGCTTCTCCAAGTGATCTATTATTAGCATAGCATTATATATTTCTTCATATTCTATTTTTCCTTTTAGCTTGTATTTTTTTCTACATCACTTATGTTATCTTCTATAAATTGTGTTAAATATTTTGCACCTCTTTTGTCCCATCCCACTGTATTGAAGAGTTTCTCGTAAAAATCAGTTTGTTCTTGAAGGTTTTACTTAATGCCAGTCTTGTAATTACCACCTCTTGTTTTGATACGATAACACTGGTTATTATGAGCATTCATGCAATTTCTCTTTATTGAAAAAATAAGCAATAGATTTTTCATTTTCTTCAAAATTTTGCATTCTTGACCATTCTCTTGCTGCACTGGTTTAACTATCATAATGTTATTTTTCTTTCTAACGTTTTTCTTTTCTCAATTGACCCAGACATTTTTGTTCTTCATTTCTCTGATTGATTTGTCCTTGTATTTATATATAGCCCTATTTTCATAGTAAATTCTTCAATTCTGTTTTTTTGTTATTTCCGACCATTCCAAAATATTTGCATATTTATGTATTGCTTTTGCCCAGGTATTCCAACACTGTTCAAATGTTTGTGAAAATATTGAATGTTCAATTACTTTGTTGCTGATTTTCCAATTACCCCTTCCACGTTCAATATCATGTGGTAAGAATTTCATCGACACCATATTGTGATGATTTTAAGGACAGTGTTGGATTTGTACATTAGTGAAAAGATGATTTTAAAGAGCTGGCATTAATTTGATGGCAATTATTGATTCTTAGAGTCCACGTTTAAAAATAGATGTCTTAGTGGTATCATATTGTGAGCGCCAGATATCTTCAATGTTATTTTCTTGTATGAGAGTAGAAAAGTCCACTTGACCAATGTCTGGTTATATTTTTCTTTTTAAATTATTTGTAAAAGTCATGCTTGAGATAAGCATTCCATTAAGAGGATGTTTTTTTTATTCAGTGTGACATTCAGGAATGGGTATCGCACTGATTGATTGGACTTTGAAGTACATTGTTGAATTCCAATATTTAAACACGATCTTTATAAGAAACATGTATCTTTCATCGAAACACTGCTGTACACGTGTCTTTCATGCTATTAAATTGTAGAAAATTTGTTTGGTTTATGTTAGCATTACTAGATAGATACAAAAAGATTTATGTATGGATGAGGAAAGAAGAACTTAAATAAAGTTACTTTATTACGCTACTAAACAGCGATTAGATAGACACTGAAGTCTTATTTTTTCCAGTTTTTTGCCAGTTATTACTCAATGTTAAATTCTGATTTCAGGTTATTTATCTATGGATCTTGGTAACGATCTGCGGAATGACATTTCTGAAATAGCTAAAATGTTTAACATCGAGAATTATGAAATGATCTGCCCTGTTACGCGAATGAAAATCTAAAAAGAGTTTACCAAGAATAAAACAAAAACATTTATCTGGCAGGTAAAAATTAATATTAGACTTTATCATATCCCCTTTGGTAAATATTGAATAGTTTCCGTTTCAGAAAGGCAAAACACACACAAATGTGACGGTACCATTTTCATTTTCATTTTTTAACCAATAAGAAGATCTGATAATGTACACGTAGAAATACAGATTTATCAGTAAACAACACGCTAACCGTTTATCTTAATAAAGCATTTTTTATTTTTACTTTATTTTTTCAAACTTTGAAAATATTTAATATCCCATTGCAGACGGACGACTTCCTTTATACTGATATATAATCAGTATTCAGAACATGCGATGTATAAAAGCATGTTAAATGACCCTAATAGCCGAACTTCATTTTTGGCAGAAACATGGCACCTGTGTGTGCTTGAATTGGAAACTAAAATGGGCGTTCCGAACAAGTTAATGTCATAATTCCGTCCTTGACGTCGTTTTTCGCCATATTGGTTCGACCGAAGTTTGTGGGAAGCAAACTGAACTCAAACATTGATCATGGTCGAATAATACATCATTGAGGACAAGGAGTAAGTACAAAAACAAAACTCTTTAAAATTGAACCAATATCATAGTTTAATTCCCATCGCATGTGAATACGGACATGTATATATTAAAAGCAATAAATTACAGGCAAGACAAACCTACATCCCTCTTAATCGTTAGATTATGTGATGTCGTAATTCAAACCTTCTTAATCATAAGAGAATACAACTATTCATCACAAAATATATCTTACCATAAGATTCATTGTAAAACAATCAGGTAACATAAAATCTATCTTAAACATAGTATAAAATAATCACGTAACACAAAATCCGTTTTAAACATAAGATAATACAATCACTTAACACAAAATATATCTCATACGTAAAATGTTATAATCATGTAACACAAAATCCATATTATACATAAGACATTTTGATCACGTAACACAAAACAGATCTTAAACAGAAGTTGATATAATCACGTTATAGAAAATCCCTTTTAAACAACAGGCTATTTTAATCTGTCTAAAGAAAAGATTCAAATCATAACAAGTCACGTTCAACGAATGATCTTTTTTCACTATATTTTAAAACAATGTTATCGTGGAAAACACATAATAAAAACACATTGAGGACTAATACCTACAACTTTCTCTTACTAAAGACACCAATTAACCAGGTGAATGAACGTAAAGCCTAACGTTAGGTTTCAAATAAAAAAGTAATATTAATTTGAACATCCTTGACCATAAATTAAAAATGGCAAGAGTTACAACTATATAGATGTTTACATATTTCATTAAAATAATTTGAATAACATGATTTAATCAATTCAAGAACTCAATAATGAATTACGAACAAGCATATGTTCTAAAAGACAATAACGACTTCATAACTGTTTCCATTTAAACGAATAAATTAAAAAACAATAATTCTTCAATAAAAAACCCGCGAAGATTTGTAGAACATCTGTAGATTAATGATAAAGCGTCTGGTTGAACGAGACTACAAATATAGAGACAACGCATTGAAATGCGTATCCTTAATGGAGGAAAATGTTCCCAATGTTACTCGACATATTACAGAGTCGACTGGAAGGCGGAAAGGCGAAAGTGCGGCGAACATTTCGCACTAGAAGTTACGCTGTAATATGTGTTAATACATTATTGTACCCTTATTCTAGTGTAATCAATGTATAAACTGTACTACACGTATCAATGAAACCGTAAATTCGAAAACATAGCTTAGTGATATTGCACTCATATTGTATTAATACAAACCTTTGATTAACGAAAAGGTTGCAAACTAGTTTTGAAAGGATACATATACTACACAAAAATTCGTTGGAGTTTCATTTTCACAGATTTTAATAATAAGCAATATCGGCCATTTTCATCGGAGTATGGAAGTTAATGTTTTCAAACATTCATACTTTGATGATTGTTTTAAAATTAAAAATAACGCTTCATAAAATATCAAAAGCACTTCATTAAAAGAAACGAGCAGGTATGCTTAATATAATATTTTGGTCATATTTTGACTAAAACGTGGATTAATTCTGCCTTGTTCTTTCGTAAAAAGGGGATTCGCTCAAAGCAAGACATTCGAACCACAAACCTTCAAAGGCAACCACTTAATGACAAAAAGGGATGGAATAAACACCTGAGTTGTGCAAATCAAGATATTATACAATATTCAATTTAGATATATATATATATACGTCATAGTTTATGACGTCACAACATATACTTCAAATGAACAGTCTGAAGAATCCCCTAGAAGAGATGAAAGTACTAAAGACTCGTTGTTGAGAATTTTTCTTTTTATAATATATATATATATGGTTGGGTGGGTAAAATGTAAAGGCATATTCTGAACTGATTTTTCATGAAAACATTAGTACCATTACGTCTTAAAACAAAATGAAACCAAACTACAACTCAAATTTATGATGTAGTTATGTTCACAATTGTTTAAATCTATCAACGTAATATGAAATAGAAACAAAATATATTGGAGTCGATTAATTTTGTCCGACGATCACATATATATATGGCAGTGATTATTGATAACGTTATATATAAAAAAATCAAAAACAAATCTAAGACCCTCAGTGAATACATTGTTTTTGAGAATAAGTCGATTACCACCAGTTGGATTTCTGATTTTCAAAACAAATTAAAAAAATCATAAGGCCGATGAAGAAAGCCAAAGCAATTTAATGTTACTGCACTTAATGCATTTCGTCCATTTAGATTTTAAATTTTACAATTCTCTTTACTTAAGGTATGATTTGTCATCTCGTATCGAACAATAATCCATAATAGACGTGATGTCATTATGCACATCAAAAACACAAAGTATTCTGACGTCACGCAACGAAGTGTGACTTTTTTTCTTAAATTTTCAAAGATTACCTTAGGATCTAGAAGTAATGAAACATATAACAATTATGGGATAGATATGCATTGAAACATAAAAATAGCTTGAATGCAACGAAAGAAGAGTGTTTCTAGTGTTACTGTGATGAAACGTTAGATTTTTCTCCACAACAGACGAAGATCATGTAAGGATGCGTGGTTCCCGTTAGTCTGAAGATGCAGACAGGATACTGATAGTTCATGAAGCTTTTACATCCGTATGGAACATCTACTGCACTTACTGTTAAACATCGCTCTGGGTTTCTGTGAGGTCCAATTTTCGTAGTTTTCGCTGTCAAAAAGAACAGAGAAGACATTTTTGAGATAACAACATAAAAACAAAACACGACATGACGTTTTTGTCTCTCTGTGAAAATCATGCAGAAACAAACTACTATCAGACAATCTAATCAACTGTATCATACGTCTTCCTTGGTTTTACTCCTCACGTACTATCTACACAGGTTATATTTGCATGGTCTTGCCATATAAATTGTGGGCTAAATATCACTGTGTCTTACCTTGTCCATATCGAATCGAAATCCATTGTAGATATCTTTTCGGATTATTCTGTCCTCTGAAATGAGCAAGATAAATACATTTAAATCCTCATTTAAGCAATTGTGTATCAAACAATTCATTTGCGAATAGTTGAATTCGTGAAAGGAAAAAATAGCAAATAGTGGTCAATTGACATTTTCCGTGAATGGGTCTGAGCATATATAAGTGTTCTTTAGACTCATAATTTACTTTTCTCCATGTTGGTAAATGGAAAACTCAGTAGATGTTTTAAGCATCCAACAACTTTCATCCAAGTTGAAATTGAGATCTTATTTTCCATATCGACTATACCATTTAACATTTGCTGTTCTAATTAGGTCAAAATATCTTCATCCCAACCGAATAAAAATGATATTAAAGCTATTCCTCTATATTTCTTATTGGGGCCCGCCTCTCAGACCCTATGGGCCAGGCCAACCGTTTATACAATGTGGGTTCTCCTTCACCAACGGATGCTTCATACCATATTTGGACAAAATCCACACTCACTGTTTATACAAAATTAAGTCCCTTTTGCCCAATGATGCTTCTGTGAGTCTGTGAGAATGTTTCAACGAATTAGTTTCAGGAATGTTTCACGTTATAATTAGTATAGAGACCAGCTATTTTGTATCAACAAAAAGAAATTCAAAAATCTGTCACTTTAGAGTGAATTCGCTCATATTAACGGAGTACTAAAAGGGTACAAAAGTTGACTTGAATGGAACATGTAAGGGTTAAATGAAACGGGGCACATGGTTACATATGCCAATAAACACCGCATGTAGTGTTACCGTGACTGTATTAAATATATCAGAAATAATTTGCCTATGAGCAAACAGTTTATGAAAAGTAGTTTTACACTTACGGTTAAACGCGTCTAAGTAGCTGAAGGAAGGTACTGCATCAGATTGACTCGACTCGCCTTCCCAACTTCGATTTAGATAAAATGATGGTTGTTGTTTCCAGTCAGGGGCACCAGCGTTATATCGAGACCGGATATTGGAGGCGTATATCGCTAGACTAAAACATGGGGAAAACATACATTCATTATTGATGCAATGTGATACATCATACATTTATATACAATGGATTTACTTTAAAAGAAAAGAAAAATCTGTTGTGCTTATACTTACGGTAAACAAATACATACAAAAAATATTAAAAGCGTGGATAGTAAAATAAAATATACTAAATAAATCATGCAAATCGGATATATACACAACAGTATTTGACTCACGATCATTGTGTACAATATATTAGGCAATGCGTCCCTCCCGAGGCTACACAACGACACCTATGATATGGAAAATGAAGTCTCATTATCCCCCTTGATTACTTTATATTGACTTTATTGTCGTGAATCGTTAATTAAGCTGATGCTGTCTTCGTCATATCAAATGGCGTATGAAATATACAGAGCCGGAGTAATTTCTCTGACTACACCAATAACCATAGGGAATCACAAACCTAAGACGATATCAATAAAATTAGACAACACCACCTAGCGTTTGCAATGTAAAATGAGACTTATCGACCTTGATTACATTTCTTCGCCACCTTGCGTATATAAAATAATACGAAGGCGGCCTATCATATACAAGGACAAACACGTACATACAAATCAGAATAACAAGCATTGGACGTTGATTTCCCCAGATACATATTCTCAATTGATTGCACATTTTATAACTTTTTGAGGAAATAATTACGGACAAATTCAGTAAAAGAAATCTTCAGAATTAAATTTGAATGGGAATAACTAGAGATAAGTAATTTTAGACCCCTGATTTTAAGATTTTAAATACCTGTCATCATTTTTGCTAGGTTCGTCCTTTTCGTATCGGCCTCGGTAACATTTAAACAGCATGAGGAAGAGTAAGAAGGTACACAGAACAGGTAGCCCGACAGCAAGGCCGATAACCAATCCGTTTCCATCTGTAAGGTGTCAATACACAAATATTTACAAGCAAATATATTCCTCCAGCAAAATATTGATGTTAATAATGTGATATTTAGCTTGTTGATTTAACTCTTTATTCGTTGAATGGATCGGAATAATAGTTAAACATTAATTTTTATATTCATATGGAACTAAAAAGAGAAACAATCTTCTTCAAAAGGACTTTTACGTGTCTTACCTAGTGTTTCCGGTTCCCTAAAACAGAACGATAATTTTATTTCAACAATTGTATTTGGAGCAAAGGTTTCGCTAAACACCTATTGTACTTTTGACAAAAACAAAACACAGAAATTACCAGAGCCTTATTACGCTGTTGAAATTCATTACACAGATAGTTTGGTTCGATCCATGTTCTATTTGCACTTCCGGAAAAAGTGTTATATTTTCTAACTAAAACGAGATGGATCCGGACTACCGACAGAATATCCGAATTATATTTTACCACATACAATTAATCTTATTGTCATCATTGATAATCGCATAATAAAATATCATTTTGTAATAGTTTTGGCTATTTAATAAAAAAAAAGGGCTGCTATTCATAAGACAAGGTTACCGCGAGCGTTATAAAATACGCCCGTCACACATTGAATGAGCAGTTGTTTGTATGATTGAAATATATGAAGTATTTGTGAGTAATTGATATTAAAAGAGAAATCATTCAACATAACTGGTAGATCAATGAGTGCAATACAACATCATGGAACGCATGCATCGCATTAATGAAACCAAGGGTAATAACTCCAGTAATTACGGTCGGATAATGGCGGTTATCAAACTTGTCCGTGGTTTCATGGTAATTAACCTTGTTGTGAAGTTTGAAGTTAATCCGTTAATAATTACTCGAGATATCGAGCGGACACTGTTTCGGCAAGTCCATAAAGGGGCATAACTCCACAAATTATGGTCGGATAATGGCGGTTATCGAACTTGTCCGAGGTTTCATGGTAATTAACCTTGTTGTGAAGTTTGAAGTTAATCCGTTAATAATTACTCGAGATATCGAGCGGACATCGTTTGCCCGCCCGCCCGCTCACGTGATAACATAATACGTCCCCGTCTTCGACGGGCGTATAAAAACCACATCGATGAACGTCGGCAAAGAACAAAATGGGAAAATATTGAGGAACAGATAGGGCTGATCAATTCAAATCTCAAATCAACACGGGGATTGAGCTACTTACACGCACACAGCCTGGCTGTCGATCACAAGACACTGGCGACCTTGACCACAGCTGGACAACAGTGTGAAGGCATCACAACGATCTTCTCCGGCAGTGATGTTGAATTCTGTAAAATAATTTTAGGAACTAACAAGGAGAATACCAAATGTGGGGAAAATCTTTTTCGTAATTCTAGAATTTCACATTTCAAAAACGATTCTTTGTATAGGGGCATTATTTGCCACATATCAAACACGTATAATATTGCGTTTTAGGATATTGTAATAGACATTTCATTCATCAGCTATTTAACCTGATAATTATTACCTTTAAAGTTACATGAATATGCAAAAAATATATATCCATTTTTACCTTCAAAATAAGTGTATAAACTGCTAACCAATCCAATTTATGCTGGTGGAATTATTAAATTTTAAACGCGGGATACTTTTCTCAATGTAAGTATATAATATACTTAGTGCAAAATACTATATGTACAGTTGTGGGATTGCACAACGTTACACAATGTGCGGTGCGTACACGATATGTGCACGATGGGCGAACGATAACAAATTGGAGGATTACCGCTTGCGCACATTTGTGCGGACAATGGACGAACGTTAACGTTGTGCGATGACAATCGTGGTTTGTGTTAATTGAGAAATGGCTTAACAGTATATACGATTTCATGTTTAAACATATAAACTTGATTATTTAAATATGTTTCTATATATAAGCTGATATTTTGAGATTTTTCTTAAATTTAGAAATGGTGTTTCGGTGTTTTATTAAACGACCCCATTCGACAAATGCAAAAGTATAACACATATTGACTCGGTCTAATATACAAGAAAAAATAGCCACATTGTACATTGTTACTCGTCAGGGTGTGAAAATTGAGATGAAAAGGAGCTAGATATATAAAGACCAAAACGAATACAAATAACAAATACTTTCTCTATGTCAGGCTCAGGGCGCCAGGTAAAGCTCCGGTCACTCATCAAAATATTATGTACCTGTTCTTTTACCTGGAAGCCAAACCAAGTCTTGACAGTCCAACCAGTCACTATGATATTGTGTAACACGCATTGTAAAATTGAACATAATATGTAATTAACATGATGAGAAATATATGTATACAATGTTCCTTATTCCATACGCGCCTTCCAGACTTTTTCATTCCGTAATATTGATCAACGAATTGTACAAAATCGCACAGTTGTGCGGATAGCACAACGGGGCGAACGATTGTTAAATCGCACAGTTGCGTGCACCATGTGTGGATGATGTGCGGACGGTGGATGTACGATGTATGCACGCTATTTTTGGTGCGTTGTGCGGTTTTAAGAGTTAGAAAAGTAACAAGTTCCACATAAAAACGGTTCAACAATCTTTTTCTATAGGATAATGTTTCCTAATAGATTCAAAATTTCTAGAAAGACAATTACAAACAACCTTGGCCATCATCTGCTTCTAGGGTAATTCCGGAAGCTGTCACAGATTGATTGTTGTAGGAGACTGTTCCGCCGGAAGCAAGATCTACCAGTGCGTTCGTGACGTCAGTCGTCGCTTCCGGTGTGTCTGATGTCACAATCGTGTGGTCCACCACCAGACTCCCGCGCCTTTCAAAAATAACACCAGGGACAAATGTTTGAATTTTGTGGAAAAAAAAAAAAAAATCTCAAAAATCTAAAGTAACCGGTATCTGGTTTTGTTTCAATTTGAAATTTCTTTTTCAATTTAGAAAATTGGATATTTTGAAAAATATATCACATCAAATGAGCTTTTAGAAACATTAAAAAACAAGACCAACTGTTTTATGGGTTTTTAATGTTTTTAAGTGTTTTTAGTATTGAACACCCGGATAAGATATTTAGGTCTATGCACTTACCGAAAGCTGATTATATTCACCAAAATGAACCCTCGAACTCTGCGGTATAGGAATCTGAGCTGTAACGACAACATCACACATTTTCAACAGTTACACATCCGAATCAAATTTCATCAATAGTAACATCTTAAAATGAAATTTCGTCAACAGTAACCAGGGTTCTCCCCAGGCCATTTAGCTGATACGGCTCCGTATCAGCTTCAGTTTGAAATCCTCCCTGCCGTATCAGCTTAATTGACCCGTATCACCTTAAACTGTGAACCGTATTACCTTGTTATTTGTACTGAACAGAAGGTGGTCTTTTTACACAAGAAATTGACACTGATTAAATCACACGGCTAACCCAAGTCCATCAATGACCCCACTGGTCAGATGCACGATAAGCGTATTGCCATAGGGGGCCTGTAATTAGTGGGGAGGGGGACCGGACGACAAGCCCACAGGTGTCCGGCAAGCGTGCTCACTGGAGCCTAAAGCAATTACCACCGGATCCTTTTAGCATGGTCAATAGGTGATTAATTGAGGTACCTACTGTTGGATTAACAAAACAAACACTTATTACATCTATTATAAATTAATTTACTCACATATGATTGCATTTGACAACGCTGAAATAGCGTGTGTATT